TGTGAATTATGAAATTATAATTTATTATATTAATATACTAGTTACTAGAATTACCTTGAGCTTGATTTCGTTGCCAAACCAACAATAATAAAAAATTGGAGCTAGAGTGGTAGCTATAACCATAACATCTTGTATATAAGAAACGATATTAGACGCTCTAAAAGCCATATGAATTAGATTGTAGCACATTACCACTGTGATCATTAAGAACTCACTAGGAATTATTTTGCCAAATTTATCGTTTAGTATATACGCGTACCTAAAATTACAGAGAAACTTTCCAATTCATCTACAGATTTTATTAAGACTCTCTAATATAATTAATGAATTTATACTGTTATGTAGTTTAATATTTTAACATAAAAATTATCTTATATTTCTAATTTGTTTATAAGAGCCTAGCTCCTTTATTCTTAAAGAGAATTAGTTTATGTTGATAATATAAATATTGTGCACTTTTTTATATCAAAGATAACAAAATAGTTTTTAAAAGATTCATTTCAATATAATGTTTCTAATACATAGGCATGATATAAATAGAAATTAATATATTATTTTTTGCTTAATAAGAGAGAGAGAGCACATTAATTATTTTCGCAAGTCCTGAAAGAAATCTGAACAAATATATACATATATAGAAATATAATGGAACTTTTTAATTCTTTAAAATACTAAGCTTTTTTCATATTTATTTTCCTTCTATATTTCTAGGTATGACGTATATTAAAAGAAATGAAAAGAAACTGAAAAATATGTGAAACATTAATTGGTTATTCAATTCGTAAATGAAAAATCTATTGATATTTATACTGTCGATACATATCGACGTATAGCTTTTCTGAGTTCGAAATATTATTTATTCCAGTATTCAATACTACATATATTTCCATCTTCAGTTCTTAAGTGTAAATAATCTGCCCAAATTTCGAATTTATTCCTAATTTAATTTTAAATATGCAATTTTCGCCCCAAGATGGTTAAAATTATTTAATTAATCTTAATTATTAAATAAAATATCATTGAAAGATTGATTATTTTCTGATGTTACTAGAAAAATGACAAGTTTCAATAAGAGTATATTAATCTTAAAGAAATATAAATAACATTCTACGTTAGAAAAATATCTCAAAAACACATTTGTATGTAAATAGGTATATAACTTACTCAAATATATATATGTGATGGTGTACGCAATTGCGCAGATTTTCTTGGTCATTCGCAATATTCGACAAACGATATTCTAAAATCTCGATTTGGCAGCAGATGTGCAGCAATAATCCGCAAATTAAATTGTCACATGTGGGATGTATAAGTCCGATAAATATTAAAGAGAATATCTGATGAGCGTATGCTAGATAAAATAGTGCGGATATTGAGCTGTCGAATGGTAACCATGCTCTGTACATTAAAATTCCATTCTTAAAATTCGTAAATATCGAAAGCAAGATCATATAGGTGGCAGTTATCGAGACGAGAATTAAATAATATAATGTATTATTCCTATAAAATGATTTATATATAAAATGTAATATAATTTAAACAGTTTTAATATAATTTAGTTATAAAATACTGAACTTACGTTATTCTCTTGTCAAACTTCTCCCGTATCATGTTTTCGCTCAGATCCACTGGTTTAAATGGCTTCTCGACAAGATTACCAATTAACATTGTAATACTATCGTGATTTATCCGTATAATAATTGCCTTATAGCATGCCAGAAGCGAAATCAAAGCGTTGAACAAGGCGTCACCAATCGTGTCAACGTTGTCGGCTCTCAATATCAACTCCATAATTTGAGTCATTGCAAAGGTATATAATATTATAATCATTGACGCTGTATAAGCGTTATATATTATGTGTCTAAACAGCGATGTCCACGATGTTGGTCGCCAGCATCCTGCGACCGCTAAAACCGTGAGCGTAAATTTCAAGACAGGCAGTTCGCTTTTCTTTCCAACATCACTTCTCAACATCCACTTGCCCAACATTAATCACTGTTTTAATTAATGTACATACACTTATTTACTACAAATTTTGATTATTATGATAATGTACTGAGCGGTAATTAGTAGATCGAGATTAATTGTCTTTAGGTATTTGATCGTGTATTTCCCTAAATGATCGCTAATTAATTGCCTTTATGTATGTTAATAATTAGATACAAAAATATAAAAATTTAATAATAAAAAAATAAATAAAAGCCTATTATTATTATTATAGAATTACTATGATATTATTATTATTATTATTATTATTATTATTATTAAATGATACTACTATTATATTTATGTAAAAAATATTTTATTTTTTTTATACATTAAACTTACGAAAATTTTGATTAATTTGTTTGAACAGTTCGTTGAATACAAGTTTTAATCGAATATTCGCTGCACGTTGTGTGACAAGTCAAATGACGTTACAAGGAAACAATCTCGTAACGTCTATAGTCTCTCAATTTGATAACGACATTTCGCCCAACTTTCCTCTTCATAAAAGGTATCTATATTATTATCGTAATAACAGACTTGTAACAGTTCTCTCGTGAAATAATATTCCCGAGAATTGAAAAGTGACATTCTTCCGAAACAATATCTATATGAAATTGCGTAATATATCATTATTTTTGCAGAGACAATCGCATACAATTTATACATTCTGTATAAAAGAAGTCAGGTATATACAAGCAGACATATATAGAAAAATAAATTCTTTAAATTGTCATCAATAGAGTAGTAGCTATAAACTATTTCCGAGATATTTGATACAATTCCTTTGTTGTATTCTTTATTGTAAAATATCTTATTTATAACCCATCATCGGTAACACCACAATATTGTTCTATGATACAATGAAGATACTTGAAAAAACAAATTCTTTAAATATTAGTTGAGCAGTGACTATAGCTTACTTGTGTACAACATTAATGCCATCCGTAAACTCAGTTACAAGCTATTATCATCACATTTCCTGTCATAGTATCTACGTTCTAACTATTTATATGATATTGTGATATCATGCACTCTCTTTCAAATAAATTTTTTATATTTTTGATTGAACATAAAAAAAAGATGTGTAAAGTCATAATTTGTTACAGATTATTAAAACTTATGCAAGTTTTAATGTAGTAAGTGTAACATATAATATAATTCTTTTTACATTACAAATATCTAAATATTCACTGCATATAATAATTTTGAATAATATTCAATGTTTCTTTAGTGGATTTATTAATGTTTTTTTATATAAAAAAAAATAGATGACTAAAGTTCTATAAAAATAATTCATTTATAATGTTGAACATCAAATTGAATTTATAGATGTATGAATGTAAAACATTGCAATAGTAAAAATATTAAATACATATCACTACAATTATTTTATTTTTATACGTAACATACATTTACAAAATTTTTTTAATTAATTTGCGAGATATATTTATCTTAAATACTTAAATACTTTAAAAGATATTACTTTATCGCATGTTTGATGACAAATTAGTTATACTACTATAAAACGTTGATTTAAAAAATTTGTCGTAATATTTATTTTTTTTTAATATTTTAACTATATTGGATAACAATACGTACACGTGTCAAATTTTTATAAAATATAATTTTGTAAAATATAATTTTTATTACAGAATTACTTAATGTCTATTTTCAAAAATAACGCTGCGAGACAGTAGAGAACATTTTGAAAGAACACATCTCTTCCAACTATATTATGACATTTTTCACATATTGTATGTCAACGTAATTTTCTTATCCCTGTATGTCGATTACGAGATACTATATTTTTTTATTGCTCGTCGTTATATGAAAAAAAACGTCATTGTATACAAGAATAATATTTTCAAATCTTGAGAACTAAATCCATTTATAAAATATACTTATTGTAATATACTCATTATAGAATATTCTGTTTCTTGTTATCATAATGTCTATAATGATTCCGTATTAGAATATTGCCATTTTATGAATAACTTCTTACGTAGATTATAAAAAATGGAGAAAATTATAATAAGAATCATTTCAAGTGTATTAGTATACAGAAATCGAAGAAACAATATAAAATTAAATTTTGTTGTATAATACGTTATATGCATCTGTGTGTGTAAACCCATATTAGCCAACAAATATCTACATATATAAATGAAAATAGAATTTTTTAATATCAGAGACAGTATTCCAAAATTTATTGCCACTACTGAAAATCTGTAATTTACATTGCAAGCACTGGCAATTTTGGAACACAGCCAGAGTGAGATTTAAATTTGCAACAGTTTTGTTTGTGTGATGTCTAGAAACTAGAACATAATATAATATAGGCGTCATTATGTTATTTTTTTTATATCATTCTTTTACTTGAATTTTCTTTTGTAGCTAATCATAATGTTAAGTTTGAATTATCTACTTTTAGAATCTTTATTTTCCAGCAAAATAAAAATACAAGAAAATATAAAAATTGAAAAGATTTTTTTCTCTTATTTTATATTTAAATATTT